TTTGGGGAACAGTTTAAGTTTAATGTGAACGGGATGAATGTTCCTGTCTTTCAGCCTCTGTTTTGTCCTTCTTTATGTAGGCAGAGCGCCGATATGAAAGCCGCCTACAGGATCTAAAGGATCGGTTGGAGCAGTCGGAGAGCACCAACCGCAGCATGCAAAACTACGTCCAGTTCCTCAAGTCTTCCTATGCCAACGTTTTTGGAGAAAGTGCCTTGCTGGGCTCCCCCAGCCGCTCTCGTTCTTCTCCATGAGGACAATGCTCTCCCTGCGCCTCTGCTTCTAAGCACAAAAGGAGCCCTATTTCAAAGCCATATGTTATTTAGAAAATAGGTCGGCATTTCAGGGTCACTATCAAGAGACATCTTCCTCTTTTCCTTGCAGCATGAGATGATAAAATGATGGTGGCATGTCCTAAGTGTAGGGCATCAGCAATACACCATGAACTGTGCCCCAAAACCAGATGGTTTTGCATATGATGGAAAAGGTCCTTTTCTTCCTGTAAGGTCTTGATGGCTTCAGCTCTTAAAACCTGTCAGCGATTTGTTGAGCGTGTTAATGTTCATAAGAGATCTTTTCATGTTTCTTTTTTCATTCTGTTTCTTTGTTGGGGAGATCATGTGGGTTCTTTTGTTTGTGGGGGTTTTTAATATTTTTGTAAACTATTGAACACTGTATTGATACATTGGATGAGAGGATGGTGGGAGAGAGTCCACCCACCAGAAGTGTGAAGCTGAAAATAACTTAAGTGCCTGGGCTCTACGCTTACAAGAGATTATTTCCTGAACAACCAGTGTTTGTAAACAGTTTTATACCAGAAATAATGATTTTGGTTTTTTTACTTGATTCTTATATACTCTCTGATCCTCACTTTTTTTCTGAGTGTGATGCTAATGTTGCTTTAGTCCTCTCACCCTGATTTCCTGATCCTGAATATGCCCAGGACTGAGCCAAAACCATCTGAATTCAAAGGAAAGATTGCAGTTTAACCTCAGTAGCACTTCAGCTGGGGTCTTGGTGCAAATGCCACATGAGTTCAGGGCGTGCATGAAATATTGACTTGGTCTTAAGCCAATTAAAGAGCAGCTACGGATACTCAACTTCTTCATTGAACCAGCCTGCATGTTCTACTGGAAAATCAGGTCTTCAATGTGTTGAGTCCCTAAAACTCATGCGCTTTCCAGTGCCCTATTCTTTCCAGTAAATAGTTCTTACAGGGGCAAAAATAAAAATTGTTTTTATGCAGCTACGGATACTCAACTTCTTCATTGAACCAGCCTGCATGTTCTACTGGAAAATCAGGTCTTCAATGTGTTGAGTCCCTAAAACTCATGCGCTTTCCAGTGCCCTATTCTTTCCAGTAAATAGTTCTTATAGGGGCAAAAATAAAAATTGTTTTTATTTTTATTTCCTTTGTATCCTATTTATGCGTGATGTGGTCATTTGGCAGTATTTGTCATAAACATTTTCTAAGTTAATAATTTTTTGAGAATGCTGTAATTGTGTGTGTGTTAACACTTTAAAAATCCTAAAGGTGCTACGGTAAAACAAACAATAAACTAAATTTTAATTGGTTATGTTGGAGTTTCTTTTTCATTGTGCTGTTATCTAGGGTCTTCTAGCCCTTATTTTTGAAAAACAACCCCAGCCAGGGCTGTCGGTGCAGGCAGCTCCTCTCCATGTTCTACGGGTGGTGGCCTCTCCCTGCCCCTGCAAACAGGGATAAATGCTGCAGTGCAGGCTGGCCTCCAGCCCTGCCTCCCGGGGCTCCTCCGCGGGAATACCCAAATAAGGGGAAAAGCGGCGAAGCTGCCGGGGTTTTGCGGCCCTGCCCTTTTCCTCGCTGCCACCCCCCGGGAGGCGCCGCCCGTGGGACTCGAACCCGGGGTCGTGGAGCTCG